ACAGCAACCTCAAACTCCTGGGCCCAAGCAATTCTCTTGCCTCAGCCTCCCAAGTAGCTGTGACTATAGGCACCTGCCACAATGCCCAGCTATTTTTTAGCCCGGGCTGTGTTCGAACCTGCCAGCTCCAGTATATGTGGCTGGCACCCTAGTCACCTGAGCTACAGGTAGCTCAGCTATTTTTTGATGTTGTTGTCATTGTTGTTTAGCAGGCCTGGGACACTTCAAACCAGCCAGCCCCAGTGTATGTGGCCAGTGGGCTAACCATTGAGCTACTGGTGCTGAGCCTGAGATGCAAAGATTTGAACAATGGTCCTTGCTGTCAAGAGAGTAGGGGAGAGCCAGAAGAGAGGGACACAGGGGAGGTTCACAATAAGTGTGAGGCTGATAGAAAGGGTAGGAGCACAGACAAGGGCCACCTACTCAGACTAGGGAGAGGGACAGGGAATTGTGGAAGACTTCTTAGAAGGAGCATCATTGGTGCTATAGTAATGAATAGGAGTAAGCCAGGGTCTAGGCAAGAAGGCACAGCTCCAGAAATTGTCTCAGGGAGCCTGGGCAGAGGGTGTCCTTGAGCAGAGCTCCAACTAGAGCAGCAGCTCCCCCAGCCATCAGCAACCACAGGGCAATCTGTCACTTGCCCTTTCCTTCCCACAACTAGCTTTGTCCTTTGAGCACTGGACTTAAGACCTACTAGGGCAGCGCCTGTGGCTCAGTGAGTAGGGCACAGGCCCCATATACCAAGGGTGGCAGGTTCAAACCCAGCCCCAGCCAAACTGCAACAACAAAAAAAATAGCTGGGTAATGTGGTGGGCACCTGTAGTCCCAGCTACTTAGGAGGCTGAGGCAAGAGAATCGCCAAAGCCCAAGAGCTGGAGGTTGCTTTGAGCTGTGACACTACAGCACTCAATTGAGAGTGACAAAGTGAGACTATCTCTTAAAAAAAAAAAAAAAAAAAAGACCTACTTAAGGACAGGAACCTGGCTCAATGACCATAGCTCAGTGAGTAGGGCACCAGCCCCATACATCAAGGCTGGAGGGTTCAAACCCAGCCTGGGCCTGCTAAACAACAATGATAACTGCAACCAAAAATTAGGCCAGGCATTGTGGAGGGCTCCCGTAGTCCCAGCTACTGGGGAGACTGAGGCAAGAGAATCACTTAAGCCTAAGAGTTTGAGGCTGCTGTGAGCTGTGATGCCATAGCACTCTACCAAGGGCGACATAGTGAGACTCTGTCTCAAAAAAAAAAAGGAAGGGAACCTGACTGCTTGGAGTCCTCTGTAGGCCCTCCCTGCCCCAACAGCTCCTGCTCCTTCTGCTTTCCACAACACAGTAAGTACTCAGAGATGTTTTGGGGTTTTGTTTGTTTGTTTGTTTTTGTGACAGAGTCTTACTTTGTCACCCTGGGTAGAATGCCATGGCATCACAGCAAACTCCTCTGCTCAAGTGATTCTCTTGCCTCAGCCTCCCAAGTAGCTAGGACTATAGGTGCCCTCCACAATGCCCAACTTTTTTTTTTTTTTTTTTTTTTTGCAGTTTTTGGCAGGGGCTGGGTTTGAACCTGTCATCTCGGGTACATGAAGCCGGCGCCTTACTCCTTTGAGCCACAGGTGCTGCCCCACCCAGCTATTTTTGAAGACGCAGTCTCACTCTGGCTCACATTGGTCTTAAACCTGTGAGCTCACGCAATCCATCTGCCTCAGCCTCCCAGAATGCTAGGATTACAGGTGTGAGCCACTCACTGCACCCAGCCTTCAGAGTCTGTTAAATGAATGACTTCAAGCACTTCCTAGAAATTCCTATACCACTACCAATCCTGCCAGTAGATAATTTCACTACAATTATCTGTAGACACTCCTACTCTCATCAACTCCTTTAACCCAGGTAAGACATGTCCCTCTTAACTTCTCCCTAAAGCATCTATATTATAGGTCTTAGCCAGAATTATCACTTTCTCTCTCTTTACTGCCTCCCCTGTGAGCTATGAACATTTTGGTTTTTTTTTAGAGACAGAGTCTCACTTTGTCGCCTCTCAAGTAGCTAGGATCACAGGCGTCTGTCACAACGCCTGGCTATTTTTTTGTTGCAGTTTGGCCGGGGTCAGGTTTGAACCTGCCACCCTTGGTACATGGGGCCAGCTCCCTATGCACTGAGCTACAGGCGCTGCCCAGCTGTGAACATCTTTAAATAAAACATTGAGGTTGCTGTGAGCTATGACGACATGACACTCTACCAAGGGTGACAAAGTGAGACTCTGTCTCAATTTAAAAGAACAAACAAAAAAAAACAAATAAAAAAAAAACAAAAAAACCATGTTACTTAAAAAAATAAAAAATAGGGACTCAGCATCTGTGGCTCAAGTGGCTAAGGCACCAGCCACATACACCTGAGCTGGCGGGTTCAAATCCAGTCTGGGCCTGCCAAACAACAATGACAGCTGCAATCAAAAAATAGCTGGGCATTGTGGTGGGTGCCTGTAGTCCCAGCTACTTGGGAGGCGGAGACAAGAGAATCGCTTGAGCCCAGGTGTTGGAGGTTGCTGTGAGCTGTGATGCCACAGCACTCTACCCAGGGTGACAGTTTGAGGCTCTGTCTCAAAAAATAAATAAATAAATAAATAAAATTAAAAATAAAAATAGGGCAGTGAGTAGGGTGCTGGCCCTATAAACCGAGGGTGGTAGGTTCGAACCCAGCCCCAGCCAAACTGCAACAATAACAAAAAATAGCCAGGTGTTGTGGTGGGTGCCTGTAGTCCCAGCTACTCAGGAGGCTGAGGCAGGAGAATCGCCTAAGGCCAAGAGCTGGAGGTTGCTGTGACCTGTGATACCATGGCACTCTACCAAGGGTGACAGAGTGAGACTCTCTCTCTAAAATAAATAAATAAATAAATAAATAAATAATAAAAAATAGGGCGGCGCCTGTGGCCCAGTGGGTAGGGCGCCAGCCCCATATACTGAGGGTGGAGGGTTCGAACCCAGCCTTGGCCAAACTGCAACAAAAAATAGCCGGGCATTGTGGCAGGCACCTATAGTCCCAGCTATTCAGGAGGCTTAGGCAAGAGGATTGCCTAAGCCCAGGAATTGGAGGCTGTTGTGAGCTGTGACACCTCGGCACTCTATCAAGGGCAATAAAGTAAGACTGTCTCTAAAAAAAAAAAAAATAGGGGCTCGGCGCCTGTGGCTCAAGTGGCTAACGCACCAGCCACATACACCTAAGGTGGTGGGTTTGAATCCAGCCTGGGGCCGCCAAACAACAAGGATGGCTGCAACCAAAAAATAGCCGGGCGTTGTGGCGGGAGCCTGTGGTCCCAGCTACTTGGGAGGCTGAGACAGGAGACTGGCTTGAGCCCAGGAGTTGGAGGTTGCTGTGAGCTGTGATGCCATAGCACTCT